AATGGTAGTTGAAATAATACACACTTCTTTTGGGGGAATCAAGCATGCAGAGAATTCTAACAAGGCAATTTATTGTTTTAAAGTTGTACCAAGCAGGATGCACCTGTATTTCTTTAAGCTACGCCTCAAAAATATTTTATTCTCATGAGTTTGTGCACCTTACATTTTTGCAATTACAATACAGCTTTGACAGGATGCCTGCTTTCTATGTTTTCCACGAGTTCAACATGAATAGCTTCTTATGATGACATGGAAAGTTGGGCTTTCCATGGTGACAGCTAACACAGCTTTACCATGGGCGAATTATGCCTGACAAATTTGGTGGCCTTTTATGATGGTGTTACGGTCTTGGTGGATATAGGAAGAGCAACTGATGTCGGAAGAGCAACTGATGTCATCTACCTGAACTTGTGCAAAGTGTTTTGACACTGTCCCGCATGACATCCTTGTCTCTAAATTGGAGTGACATGGATTTGACAGACCACTCGGTGAATAAGGAATTGGCTGGATAGTCACTCCTGAAGACTTGTGGCCAAGGGCTTGATGTGCGAGTGGCGTTCCTCAGGGACCAGTACTGGGACCGGTGCTGTTTAACATATTTGTTGGCAACATGGACAGTGGGTTTGAGTGTATCTTCAGTAGGTTTGCCAACAACAGCAAGTTGTGTAGCATGGTTGACATGCTGGAGGGGAGGGATGCCATCCAGGACACGTTTGAGAGGTGGGCCTGTGTGAACCTCATGAAATTCTACAAGGCCAAGTGAAAGGTTCTGCACATGGGTCAGGGCAATCCCAAGCACAAATACAGGCTGGGCAGAGAATGGCTTGAAAGCACCCCTGAGGAGAAGCAGTTAGGGGTGTTGGTTGATGAGAAGCTCAACATGAGCTGGCAATGTGCACTCACAACCTAGAAAGCCAACTGCATCCTGGGCTGCATCAAAAGAAATGTAGCCAGTAGGTTGAGGGAGGTGATTCTGCCCTTGTGCTCCACTCTCCCAAGACCCCACCTGGAGTACTGTGTCCAGCTCTGGAGCCTTCAACGTAAGAAGAACATGAATCTGTTGGAGTCAATCCAGAGGAGGCCCATGAAGCTGATCTGAGGGCTGGAGCACCTCTCCTAGGGAGGACAGGCTGATAGAGTTGTGGTCTTTGAGCCTGGAGAAGAGAAGGCTCTGGGGAGACCCTGTGGGAGTGTTACAGTACCTAAAGGGGGCCTACAGGAGAGATGGGGAGGGACTCTTTATCATTGAGTGTAGTGAGGGATAGACCAGGGGCAACGGTTTAAACTGAAAGAGGGTAGATTTAGATTAGATACCAGGAAGAAAATTACAGTGTGAGGGTGGTGAGACACTGGCACAGGTTGCCCAGAGAAGCTGTGGATGCTCCATCCCTGGAGGTGTTCGAGGCCAGGCTGGATGGGGATTTGAGCAACCTGTTCTGGTGGGAGGTGTCCCCATTGCAGGGGGTTGGAATGAGCTAATCATTGAGGTTCCTTCCAACTCTAACCATTCTATGATTCTATAAATCAAATATTTATTTCCCCCCTCTCCATAACACTGAGAAGGAAAATTATATTAGTTTGAAAGTACCCTGTTGTAAGTTGAAATCTTGCAGTTCTCTTCCTTTGGTTTGCTTTAGAATCATAGAAACATACAATCATTCAGGTTGGAAGAGACCCTTGGGATCATCGAGTCCAACCATCTACCCTACTCTACATAGTCCTCCCCTACACCATATCCCTCAGTACCCCATCCAAACGTCCCTTAAACACCTCCAGGGATGGTGACTCAACCACCTCCCTGGGCAGCCTGTTCCAATGCCCGACCACTCTCTCTGTGAAAAATTCCTTCCTAATGTTCAATCTAACCCTACCCTGTTGGAGCTTGAAGCCGTTCCCTCTCGTTCTGTCGTTAATTACCTGTGAGAAGAGACCAGCACCGACCTCTCTACAGTGTCCTTTCAAGCAGTTGTAGAGAGTGATGAGGTCTCCCCTCAGCCTCCTCTTCCTCATACTAAACAGTCCCAGCTCCTTCAGCTGTTCCTCGTATGATTTGTCCTCCAGGCCCTTCCCTAGTTTGGTTGCCCTTTCTGCTGAAGTACCTGGCAGACTGGTGGCGTTATCTGGAGTTCCCATACAGCAGGCAGCTTCCCAGTTCCTTTCCGCAGCTATTTTCTCGTCTGGCCACAAGATGGCGGTGTGACAATTCCGTACTGGCACCCTGTTTGTCCCGGCCGCCTGTGGCGAGTGGTGGATGGATCCCCCTGCTTCCCTTTAAACATCCGCAACAGACTTTGAGACCACAAGGATGTGCCACCAGAGGAAAAGAGCATAAACTGGCAACTGCAAGGCCATGATAACTAATTGCCTCGCTTCGGTTTTGAGAGGAACAGCTCTGCAGTGCTGCCCACGCCAGTTAGTTGTTCCCCACCTTCTGCGTGGCACAGGGGGAAGCCTTCACGTGCACAGAAAACCAACGGAAGAGAACCCAAGGTACTGAGCTGGCAATGAAGGACGTTGATTCTGCTCCTGCCAGATCTGCTCCAAAGGTTTAAAACGACCTCAGTAATCAACTGCTTTTAAAATGCATTGCTTGACTGAAATATGCTATAGATATTTGCAGAGTACAGCAGCATAAGCGTCAAAAGTTCCTCAGTATTGCAGCACCACCTCCATATTTACATTTGAAAGCCCAATAATATATTCCAAATTGCTCATATATTTGCATTTCAAGTCTGTTTTCTTTTTCCAGTTGACACATTCTCCATGTTAGCAACACAGAGATAAGAAAGATTGTGATAATTCCTGAGCCCACAGACAGCAAACAGAGAGAAAAGGGGACTGGGACTGAGGAGAGAGCAAGATGGGAGAGCAGAAAGAGGTGACACGACTTCATTACCAAAATCTTTCAGATTCCTTGTCCTACAGAGTAGAAAGAGATCCTGTGAACTTCTGTAGAGCTTTGCGTATGACATGAATTTAAAGGGTATTCAAAGCATCTGTCATGCTAACTACACCAGATGGACAGTTCCAAATACGCTTAACACAGACATTTGAAAGACTAACACAACTGTTTATGGGAACAGATATAGCTGTCTCATAGTGAGCAGCCCTGAGGTGACGGTTTCTATTTTCATTTAAAGTCTAAGTATAGGCAAGTTTACCTTTTTCCAGAGAAGATGGGAATAATTAAAATAAAAAATAAATAAAAAAAAAGAAACAATGTGGTATTCCTGAACAGTACATTTATTAATGACGTGCAAAATTGAAGTAAAATAAGTCAGGCTATCATCACAGAATTCAGTAGGGACAGCAATAACTTTCAGCAACCTCTAAAAGTGTAATATCACAACCAACCAGGCACACTGCTTCACTTCAGGGTTAAAGTTTCCTCATCAAGTGAATCATTGGCTAGTGAAACAGAAAACAGCTGGTGAACAGACAATGGGCAAATCTCCAGGGTTTTTTTATCACTATTTTAGCAAGCCATACATTTGGAATTGCACTTTTAGATGATTTCTGGAGGACTGTTTGACAGGAGAGCAGCCAGTAGTAAAATAGAGTCACTCTCCTTTCCCACAATACTCAATCAAATAGTTGGCCATTAATTTAAGTTACCTTGAACATTTGATCTACCTTTGAAAATTTCCTTGCCTTGTGATATAGCCTTCATGAGTCTAAAATAAAATAGCAACCTTAGAACCTTAAGTGTAGATATGTCTGGTAATCTTGTTCTGTTATCAACTCAATAAAGAAGTTCATTCCTGATAACTATCGAAATTCAACTGCCTCTTTCTTTGTGAGTCCATTAGCAACCAAAGATCCCATATAAACTGACTTGCCATTTTCATGGTAATGGAAGACAAAAGGACAAGAGAGGGACAGAGCTCTGAAAAGCAACAGCCAAACAAGAAGGAATAAAAGTCTCACCTTTGATTATTTCTACCATTTGTGCAACTGAGGGAGATGAACAATTTTCACCATCAGTTGCTTTGTGCTTTACATTACCAAACCCAGCTAGAGGGATTTTCTAGCAAACATATTAAAATTTGGAAATGCTTTCCCTTTTCACTGCACTTTCCTCTTAGGTCTTGTTAACCAAGCTAGTAACACTTGTAGTCATTATAGAGCAGCAAGATGATTACACCACAGAGAGCCTTTGAGGTCACCAGTCCTGCTTCCCAGACACATGTGGTAGATGGGATCATAGATTCAAGCTGTTAAGCCCCATAAGATGAAGGTTACTGGGACAATGTGATAGCATCAAGGATCTGGAGCTGTCTTTACTATTCTGCTGGGGAAAAATAACTCTGCACTCTCCTGGCAGCTGTGAAAGATGATCTTCCACCGTAATTTTCCCTGCACTCTTGAGTCTGATTCCCTGACTGGCTGGAGAAGGCTGTGCCGTGTTTGTAGGTCACTAAGATTGCAGACTCAGCCCTTCAGGCACCCCCTCTTTGGGCAGGGATGGTTGCAATTCCCTCCTCCTGCCAACAAGACGTTTACCATGCCGGTGTTTCACCTATGGACAGCTTATGTGACAATGTCCAATACACTCGATAGTTTTATAGTTTACCGAAGCTGAAACCTGCTCCATTCCTACTGCCAAGCCGATGGAATCCCTTCCCTCGGTAACTTTGTATTTCAGTCAGAAGAAATATAGAGGTTTTATCTATTGCCATGTATCCCTTGTAAAAACAGAATCATTAAACTTCCATTTAAATCAAGGAATCTTTCCCATGAGTTGCCTCCTCGTTATTCGCAATGACAAACAGCACAATATTGCAATCACTGGAGGTGCGTTAGGATTTTGCTTTTACTTCTTACGCACAAAAGCCGTGCATATGTTGAAGCCACTCAAGACCCCAGCACTATAAATAGTGCTCTATTGTTAGCGGATAAAAGACGAAACAAGCCTCCTGGCATTGGAGCACGGCACGTCCTATTAAATGTTAAGCTCTGGCTGTGCTAAAAGTGAAAGGCGACATCCAGGGATAGCCCAGTCCGGGGGCGAGGCGCACGGCGGGGAAGAGCTTGCTCTGACTCCCCAGCTTCCCCGAAGCCAGGCGAGGAGCAGCAGCTTATCTGTCCCCCTCAGCAATGGCAGAAGCTGTTATAAGACACTGGGTGGAAACTCCCGTGCGCTACCAAGAGCAGTTTTCCACCCCAGAGCTGGAAGGGCACAAGCTGGACCACTTCTTATACGCTTTGCCGGGCCCTGCTACGGCGGCGCCGGGCAGCAGAAGGTGGATGGCAGAGAGCACGGCTGGGGACGGGCAGAGCCGCCGGGAGGAGGAGGAGGACACGCGCTTCCAGGTCTTGCTGGATGTGGTGCAGTTCCGCCCCGAAGACATCATTATCCAGACTTTTGAAGGCTGGCTCCTGATCAAAGCTCAGCACGGACCCAGGATGGACGAGCACGGTTTCGTGTCCAGAAGCTTTACCAGACAATACAAATTACCTAACGGAGTGGAGAACAAAGACTTGTCCGCGCTTTTCTGCCACGATGGTATTTTGGTTGTTGAAATGAAGAACTCGGTGGGAAAGAATTAGAACCTTGTCCCTAGTTTATTGGTGAGATAACAATCATTCTTAATATAGCAGCATAATATCATTCAAGCAATGCTGTAGGGTGTAGTAAGCGTGTGGCTGTATTTCCAGTGAAGGAAAAATCTTTGTATATATTTTTCAGGATGCTGAGTTCCATGTTTGATGTGAAATGTTAGACTGCTTGCCTCCAGCTACATATGTGATGGGAAGCCAGGCTTTTTGAACAGCAGAAAATTTAGGCGAGTCACAGCAAGAGAAAAAAAAGAAATCTATTTCATAACATATTGAAAATAAAGCACATTTATGAGTTCAGTAGGAAGAGTTGTATTTCTAAGGAGTACATATTTGTCAGACAGTACAATCATTAAAGAAGCAATAGACGGGTGGTGAGTCTTTTGGAAATTTGATTTATGTACTAAAACATCTGTTTTCTAATTTTTGAGGTTAAATTCTTTTTCCTTAGGCTCTGGAAGAGCACACAAACAGGAGGATACTATCAAGGAAAAAACCCTGTTTCCACAGTTCAAGCTTCTATACAAAAAACCCCTTGAGAAATTACTTTTTAGAGGTGTGTTGCATGTTTGAAACTATAAGAAAAAAAGAATAATTACTGACTATATTTGCTTGAAAACACGGTAACTAGAAATGATACTTTCTGTCAAAGACCAATTAATTTGAAAGAAAACATTCAAAGACATGTAGAAAATTATTTATGTTTAACATATTCTGCTATCGATTAGCAACTGAAGAAAAAACATGTTGCTTACAAATACTCAAAAGGATCAAATTCTTCCTTGTGAAACCCTGGAAATAAAAAGGCATTACTCTAGTGCATATTATTTTATTCTTAAGCATTTCGGGTATTCTTATTGTTCAATCAGATGATTTTTTTTTTCTTCATGTTTCTTGACAGTTTAGGCTGAAATGCCACAACTGTGTCTTCAAGAGCAATTTTTTCTGCCTTTGTGCCACTCTCGTCATATGAATGTGGGCTCTACATTAATTTAAGTACAGAGGGTCCTTACTGCAGACACAGGTTTAATTTCTATCCCGGTATCTCTCATTTCATGAAAGCAGTGGAGATGAAAAAAAAAATCCACCCACTGTGTCTAATATCTGGTCTTCTCAACATTAAAAAAAAAAGAATGCTGTTAAGTTAGTTTGAAAATACTCAAACATTTGAGGAGATCTGCAGCTGCAAGTCGACCTGCCTCCATTTATGTGTACTGGAGATGAGTATGACTGCTGTGCTATGAATAGTAAAGGAATGTGGAATGGAAAGTGCCAAGTTAAATACAGACTCTTTATGATAGCCATCTGCTGTTTGGACAAATCAAAACCAAATTCAAATGAAACTGAATACAAATACAATTTTAAGAATATGAGAAAAATCTGATGAGCAAAACCCAGGCTCTTGCTAGCTGAAGGCAGACAGTCCCTTTAGCTGGAAATGAAAGCCCTAAGCTTGTACCTCTGCACGTGACCATTCATTAGAAAGATTTATGTCATGGCTGTTTAGACTTGAAGATATTTGAAGCAATTGACTTTAGAAAACTGGATAGCCCGATTCTTGCATTTCATTTATTATTTGTGCTAAAACTTACAAGGAATTTGTACAAGAAATGCAGAATAAGGCCTGGATTGTAAATTTCCATCATGTGCAGTTATTTTATTTTTTCAATAGCGCAGAAGTCAAGAACCTAATGTTTTCTCACAAACCAAACCAAATATAAAACATATGTCCCTACATTTCCACTCAACCCACACTTTTCCCTCATATTGCCTGTGTTTAATTTGTGTATTGGTTTAAAGCAATAAATGGTCACGCTAGAAAATCAGATCTAGGTTTTCAACACTTTTAGGTCAAGAAGCTTCCTCAGTCAGGAATCTAATGGAAGATGTAACATGGATTTTAAAAAACGAATTCTAGATACAGATCTGGATTTAAACTTTGCACACCAACTTTATGAAAGCTCACAAGTTTAGACCCATGGTTTCCAAATCAGCTTATGGCACAACTGTTTGGGCAGAGTTCAGGATCAGCAGTCAGTTACTCGCTTTCGTGATTTTTGTTTTTGATTTTGTTTACAGAGAATCTTGTGATTTTGATCGCTTAAAATTAAAGGTTATTATAAAAATTATTCTAGCCATGATTGCAGTGATAGTATTCATAGCTCTGGAGATGAAAAAGCAGTTCTAAAAAAAACCGTAACTGATTTAATTATTTTAAATTAGAACATGATTAAGCTACTGGAAACTTGGCAAGGAATTTGACCAGACAGCCAAAATCATATTGTCTGTTCTATATACGTTAATACCATGGTTACACACAGCCCTGCTTATGTACACAGGCCTGTCTCACAAAGGTGGAGGGAGAATTTGGCATTTGGCTCTTCTGTATCATAGGTCTCTTCACATCACTCCATGGCCTCACTCACACATGTCACCAGTCAGAAGCCACTGGAACACATTGACCCAAACATGGCAGGGACATTCTCAGGTGGATTTTACCTTCTCTTGTACCCAGAGCTTTATAAAAGCCTATGTCCGTGCTCCTTGGTGAATGGGAACTTGGCCTGGCCCAGCACTCCAGTGCTTGTGTAACAGGGACCACATTGGAGCATGGACCTGCTGCTGGCTTCCTGTGTTTTAGCGTCAACAACAACAAAGAAGAAAGTGCTTCTCTCCCTTCTTTTAGTGGTAGTTTATTGAAAGTTCTTCTTCTTTCCCTTCTTTTAGTGGTAGTTTATTGAAAGTTCTTGCATGAATGATTTTTATGTGTTTACCGGAACAGCCTTAGAATACTTGGCAGAGCGTTTCCAAATTGTCTGGAAAGAGCTGTTTTCACATACTGTATGTGATGTTTTACGTTTATAATCTGATTAGAACTGAATGTGAGTGTCACAGAAAAAGCTGCTAATAGTGTTCATGGACAGTGTAATGAGAAATTTATCTACAGCACCGATTTCAGAGCAGCTACAGCTTAAGACAGGTTTAAGACATGCTGATGTGGTTAAATTAAGAATACTGATATTGGCTGCCTACAAAATAAGCAATAAATGCTGCTGCAAGCACTACAGAGCAATTGCTATGGAGTCTTCTCAGTTCCCATCAGTGAAGGATTACTTCCATAATTGATCAGACTGCTCCTACAAACAGATAAGGATGATTTCATGCATGAATCTAAGCACTGTGAAAAATGCTTTCATAGAAGAAGAAAATGCCTCAATATCAGCATTAGTCTCCAAAAGCAAGGTAACAAACATACATTTCCATGTGATCCCTCTGAGCAGAAAGCCCACAAGTGCCTTGGACTTGTTGCCTTTTTATAGTTTCTGCTGCATCCAGGGCATCTGAGATGTCTCTACACAATCTGATACTTGCGGTGCAGTGAACCGAGGCTGACACAACACCCATCAGTCACTCAGTAACTGCTCAGCTACAGCCCTGGGCATTGGAAAAGAGGAAAGGAAACCCCTGGGGAAGTGTGTCTAGTAGCTGCTTGCACAAGTGTGACTGATGCAAGTAGAGAATCATTTACAGTTCCTCTCCTCCTGCTCCTTGATGTGTTTACTGTGCTTTGGTCTGACCCTGACACCAGCAAGTGACCTTCTTCTGCTGATGAAGCACGCCACTCCTGAACCCTCACAGAATCACATCACAGAATCACAGGGGTTGGAAGGGACCTCTGGAGATCATCTAGTCCAACCCCCTGCCATAGCAGGTTCACCCGGAGCAGGCAAGAAAGAAATGCATCCAGAAGGGTTTTTTGAGTATCTCCAGAGAACAAGGCTCCACAACCTCTCTGGGCAGCCTATTCCAGTGCTCTGTCACCCTCAAAGTAAAGAAGTATTATCCCTGCCAGCTAATACAGAAGCAGCAGCAGGCAGGCCTGTGGATGGAGAGGAGACAGAAAACTGTAGGACCAGGGTTGGCCTTGGCATGTGGCCAGCAAGGAGTCCCACCAGAGGTGTCTCAGGCAAGGATTGGGAGTAGGAAAACGACTCCAACTGATTCAGAAAAAAAAAAAAAAAGAAAAAAAAGGCATAATATTTAAACCTCCTACAGAAAATATTTGACTTTTTGATAAAATGAACATTTTTAAGGGCTGATAAAGACATTTCAAAATTACTTTAAAAAAATTAGGTTGTTAATAGAAAAGGAATACACCCATGGTGTGCTAGGATGAAAAAGTCAGTCCCCTCCTGTATTCAGGTATGTTTCTTTCCAGTTGCACATCCCTGCAATTTTCCCATCCGTTAATTGTACATTCCCACCACGTAAGCAGAGATAACATGGTAGAATATCCAAAAGGTTTCACTGGCTCTTAGCAGAGTTGGATGACACGGGGGCTAAAGTGTGGCCCTATCTGAACTAGCCACCCCAAAATTTCCAAAGCCAAGTCCCCATCAGCTCAAGCTGGCCTACTGATTCACAGTAAACCAGTCAACATGTGCAGTCATCCCCCTCATTAGCTCTGCATGGAGTTATCTTGGTCCGGCAAGGCTTCCTCACTCAGGTGTCACCGTGCAGCATCCAAGGCCAACCAGCACCTGGCTCTCTTCCCCCACAGCACCAACACAGCACAGAGCTCAGCTGGAGGCTCCTGCAGTTGATGCAGATGTCTCCAAATGGAACCACATGAATGGTTCCCTGCATGTGTGTGACTCCACACAAGAGGTAAGATGGGATCAGAAGACGTTTCACATTCCAGTGGCAATAATTCCTTTATTATTAGTTCCACTCCCCATTTCCCAGGATATCCCACTCTCCTCTTACCCTGGACACTGGAGTTGGCTGTTCCACAAAGACTGCAGCAGCACAGCGGTGGAGGCACTAAAGGCAGGCATATATTCTGTCTGTGAATGAGCTGATTTTGAGTTTGGATTTTGGGTTTAAACAAGTCCAAGTCTTAGCTGAAAGGAATAGCGTTACAACACAGCTATAATGAAAAATTAATGAAGGGAAATTATTTTCGGAGCATGGCTTGACAAATAAAAACATAATTCTTGTACTCTGTTTAACAAGAAAGACAGAAACTCATGCACTACCTGCAGCAGTGACAGCTGTATGCATTTTAATAGTATTTCAAGTATATTTTTTGTAACTTTACCACAGTTATCCATGTCCTGGTGTCAGAATCAGTATGTACCATACAAGATGCACCATAAGTACGGTTTCTGCCTTAGGGCTTGTTCCTAGAATGAAACTAATAGGGACTCAATGCAGATTAGGAAACTCTGGGGCAAATACATGCAGAGATGTGAACCCTGAGACTCATTCTGTCATACTATCCATATCTGAATAGATATATCTATTTCTAGAATACCTTCTAGAAACTTCAGCCTGAAATGGTTACAGTGTTGAGACAGTTAAGGTTTCCAGATTTATATCATAGAATCATAATATGTTTAAAGGTCGGAAGGATAAGTAATGATGCCCAGTGTAATCCCCTGAACAGAGATTACATCATCTCACTTGCTAATTTCCTCATGAAGCCCATAATACATTTGAAAAAGAACACAAATTTAAGTAAGGTATCTAATTTAAAGACTTTAGTTGATGGAGTGCTCATCACACCATACCCCTCCACAAATTGTCCAAGTGTTAATAGTCAACACAGCTAACAAAGAGCAAGTTTCCCTTGTCCCTCTGAGATTTGCTCAGTGATATACATTTTACCCTAAAACTAAATGTAATGGTCTGGACAGCTCTTGGGACAGTCTTTTTACTATCCTGATGTTTGGAGTTACAAAGATATAAAAGTTTAACACCTGCTACTAAACACCCTCTTTAATTACTAATAGAACAGGAAGGAATACATCAACATGAAGAACTGTGAAAAAAAAATTTCCATATACAGAGCAGAAATATTTATTGAATTCACAAGGTTCTTCACAACCTCATCATTTGCAGGCCTCTATGTTTCCAACAAGACTAGAGAAATCCAGAAACTAAAATTTTTACCTTAGAGTAAATTGATGCTGGTATTGAGCTTCCCAGAACTCCTCATCTCGAGCTGACGCAGACAACACAAACATCTCCTTGGCTATCCTTTCTGTACTCCATGTCCTCAAGCAACAACACAAGTTAAATTTTTCTCCTTGAAGGTAAGACAGCAATCTCACTCAGAATTTAATGTCCGTGCCTCCTGCTAGTGGAATGCAGTGTCTCAGCTTAAACATGAACAATGAGAGAATAGAAGATACTTTGATGGCCAAACTGCCATCAAAACTGGTCCAGTGCCTCAGTTAGTGAGAACTTGTTCTGGTTTCCAGGCTGAGACTGAGAATTCACTCTCATAGGGTTCGACAATGGACAGTAAAAAATTCATAGACACATGAAGTGGCGTTAAGGCTCATCCATCCTGATCAGCTGCAGGTGTGACCAAGGAGCTGCCAGTGACTATTCCCTGCACCCCAAGGCCGGCCCCTGCCAGCCACCTCTGCACAGGGCCAGAGCAGCTTAAGGGTGGACATGAACCTCTTCAGCCCAAAGAACTCGTCTCATGGATTTCTAGAACCCAGCAGCATACATTTTTCCATGATAAACCTGAGTGTTAACACAGACACAGAGCCCACTAAGGAGGTTCTCTCTGCAATTTCTCTATCCTGAGCAAGGACAGAAATACCCTCATGCAGGAAATGAATGAGTGTTCAGTCCTTCATTCTTGCTATATTATATTTTACTCCTCCCATGCAATGAGCCTACTTCTGAGATAAGATTATTTTCATGCCACATTTGTATGGCACATGGAAAAAACGTCAGCCTCACCTGGATTTCCTTACCAGTTAACCTGTTAGCTCAGAGTCTTGCTTTTTACAAAATGTTTGTTATCATGAAAGGTATGGGACTGCAATACATAAGACTGAGATTACTCCTTAAGGACTTTTGCAGCTTGGGCTAAAATACAGCAGGGTCATGCATCCTCTGTTGCTGTGCCTCAGTCTTTACGTTAAGGAGGTAAATTCTGCTTGTATGCAGTTACAGGACTGGCAGTTGACATAGGGTTCTCCGTCCGTAACCAGAAAAGGCTGTCAGCACCACCAGAATGTCTGCCCAGCACGTACCCCCACTGCCACAGCATGGAAGAACTGCATACATAATGGATTTATCTCGACAGCATCCTTAGATGGTTATGAAACATTATCCCTTCAGACAGGGGATGGAGACAGACATGCATTCCAAGCAATATTAAACGGAGGGCTAAGAGTTTCTGAGTAACAGCCATCTATTACACGGACTGGGGCTGAGATAGCTCATACGTATCAGAAAGGTGAAACAAGAACCTTGGCATTTCTGCTCAATTATCTCTAATTTTATACAACTTAGTTTGAAAAAAAGCTATGCAATTTCTGCTTGTGTTCCTGTTTGAAAAAAGATTTTGTTTCCTCCTAAATCCCACTGCACCTTTTTCTAAATTCCATAGTGCACTAGAAAGTGTCTCCGATACCTGGTTTATGTTTTCAACTATAATTTCACACACACACACACACACACACACACAAACACACACAAAAATAATTAAAAGCTAATCCTATTGTATCTTTTAGGAACTGAAAAAAGTACTCCTAGAATTTGTTCGCATTTATTGCATTTTCTTCCCTGCCTTGTTGGTTCAAAGTCTTTACTTGCTTTTAATACGGTAACTTTAGTGTTCAAAATCATTTCGTGCCCTCTAGTGGCAGCCCTGCCAGGCACCTTCAACTGCGACATTGCAGATACAGGTGATGTAGAAGTGGAATAAAAACAATTTATTCCCCTTTTAAGTGAAATTTATTATCCATACCTATAGTTGCCTGTTTTTTTTTTTTTTAATTACAGAAATTTCTATTTATGATAAGATAGTACCACAAACATATAACACAAACAGCAACAAAAAAATCACACACTGTGTAAACGTTTGACTGAGTTTGCTCTTGGAAATTATATTGGCATGATTCAGACTTTCCTACTAGCACATTGTTCAATATCCAGACACAAAGTTTTTCCAGGGTCCACAAAGAGATATCACCATAATGAAAATGTTAAGCGCGTCAACTTCTCTCATGGAAAACCACTTTGCTCTTCTTACTAAACCAGCAAAGTGATAGCACAGAGGAAAATTAACACAATAGAGAAGGAAAGATTTGGGGGCTTCAAGGAAAAATTACACAGATGTTATAAATACTTTATTATTTTTTGTTTCAGAGCCTCTACTCATTCACTTTTTCCTAATTGAAGACAGCGTAAACCCCTTACCAGTTCCCCAAAATGTTCCCAAATTTTTTATTTTGAGCTTTCTGCACCTGAGCAGAAAAATAAACCATGCTGCTTTGAAACAGCTCTTTCAGCATATATTCTCAGGAGTCTTGAGATGCCTAACTCCAAATTGAAACTATGAGTATACCATACATAGACATTGCTAGCCATTTGGCTTTAGTTTGGCTTTCAGTTTCACCCCCCAAACTACAAATCCTTAGGAACACATTCAAGAACAAACATTTTCACTGAATTATAGGTTTTCAGCCTCAATAGGATCAGAATAACATTCACTTTGACTCTGAAAATTCAGTTCCCCGGGAAGATGGTAGAAAATGGTGACCGAGCAAAGCATTGAGATACATGATTTGTGCAGCTAAAATGCTGCAAGTCAATATGTGCTGTTCCTACTTTGAAATCCTTGTTTCTGCTAGTCTGAGCAACAAGAAACAAGGGTCAATCAATCCAGCTCTTGTACTTGGCACTGTGAATGGTTACCAAGGGTCAAAGAAGCTGGCTTCTTCAAACCCTTTAAATTTTTTTTTTAGGGTGGCTTCTAACTTTGCAGGTTGGTTTTCTTGAAAATAATAGTTGAGTTTTTAAAAATGTTAATTTTGATATCCACAATAGAGTGCCTGCACACAGTGGTAATCAGAGTAATCAGAGTTGGCTCACTGGTGGGAGAAAGATGGAAAATGTCATTTACAATCTCATTAGTGGTCCAAGTTCTCTTTGCAATTCTGTCCACTAGGGAAACAATATAACACACTTCTCCCTGTCATAATTTTGCCTTATTGATGACATTAATGTCTGAAAACCATGACCCACTTCACTTAACTTATTTTTTATTAAAGATAAAAAGATAAAACCTGGAATTTTAGAGAATAACTACTTCTCTAGTTTACACTTAATTATTTAAGAAATATTATTTTCATTTGCTTTACAGATCTTATGCCTTCAGATTCTTCTGGTAGCAGTTTTTGCCCCTGTTGAACTTGATGCCTTTGTTTGTGTCCATTTGAGACACACATACTGAGCCAGTATTTACTAAGAAAACGTCAGATCCAATGCGCTAAGGGGGACAGAGGGAAGCAGGACAGCTGCCATCTCCACCACTGCACCCAAGGAAGTAATTTAGGCACCCAGTTCAATGTTGTCCCTTTGTCCTGCCCTGGCTGTGACAGCTGCAGCCTGACTGGCATTGGCACCACCCTCTGCGGCAGTGAAAATCCATTCCTGAACTGGCTTTGGAGCTGCACAAGGCATCTTGGTCATCACTTCAGGTTGTTTAATTAAAGCAAATCTGCAATGTATCTAGTTACACAAATCAAGTAGGTCAGCATGATTTCCAGTACTGATCAACTTGTGAAAAAGTGGCTGTTTCAGAGAAAGCAACATTAGTGATCAAGGACATTGAAATTAAGATGAATAGGACTGAAAAGTTTGGGAAAGAAGTTGAATCAGGTGCAGTAAAATATCTATAAAACACAAAGTGTTGTAGAAAAGGCTGCTGTAATTTTCCTGTAGTTTCACCTGTGAGGATTCACCTGAATACATAGGACTGCCCAAATCAATATTAGGAGCTGACTTTGGGAGGAATACAAAACCCCAGTCACTTATCTTGATTTGCAGTAGTCAGGAGACCAGGTTAAACCAACCCACATCTGTCTCCTTTTGGGGTTTTAGTCCTTACGCCAGGATGGACACATGGGTGGGAGGCAGCACACTGGAACACTTGGCAGAAGAGAACCACATCTGCATTGAAGACAGATGCTGATGGTGCACTGGCCACTGCAGCAGAACTCTGATGATCATTAGCCTCGATGGAAAAAGAGCTATGGCAGTTCTAAGGGCCCTGATGGATGCTGATGCATGGCTTGAGGAGCACTTCAGAGCTTGCTGGGGGGTTAATGGTGACCTGGCACAGTCAGGCTGCTTCCACCACCACCAAGTGAGCTGGCAGGGAAACCCAGAAATCTTGATACAGAGTCGTCTGAAGTCACCATGCTGGGCAGCTGCCCACTCTCTCTCTCCGGACAAGACTGATGCTTCCTGCTTTAGCACTGATGTTGACAGAACTGCTCTCCATAAACTTGCTGCTGCAAATTCAGCGCTTGGGTTGGGAGATGGTGGCATAGGTGATGCAACACGAACATGTTTTACTGGGCTGGCTGTTGAAGAGCTGGTTGTGTGGTCAACTATGTGGTTCTTTGGGCATTATTGGTATCAGCTAATTAAAAAAGACTTCCAGAGTTCAGCAATGAAGGAACTCAGGGTTAACACGCTAGGCTGGGGTGAACTGGTATATTCCAAAAATGCTAAGTACAAAAGCCAAGCAAGAGTAACAGAAAAGTGCTGTGATAATATGTGCAACAGCACTGGGAAAAGGAAGGTCAGAGGAAAAAAGTGAGCCATAGCAAAACACTAACAACGGCAATGAAAACAACAGTGCAGCATTGCAGTGAATCGCAAATAATTCCAGTGACGCCCGGAGGAAGGCAAATTATTTGTCACAAAGACCTTTAAGAAGCAACATACACTTTGAACTACATCAGAGAAATGAGCAAGAACTGCGTATCCAGCAGGATGCTGATGGTAAAGCATGAAGAACTGGGGAAATAGTTCTTCATCTCCTGATGAAAAGCTCCTCCAGAATAGGAGGCACATCTCTCCCAGAAAACTTCTCTCTCATTGTTTGTGAACAGGCAGAGATCTTGAGAGAACTTTGTATGCAGGGATCCAAAGAGAGCATAAAGATGATTGACGGGATGGGATTCATGGGAATAGACAACATAGCATGAGAGGTCACAGGAGGTATGAGGGGAAACCACCAGGGTGGGGAAAAAAGGACCAGGTTGGGATTGAGGCTGTTCTACAGAAAACCACCATCAGCAGCATGACCATATTTTCCAGAGGGTTAAAATACACATTATCCACAACTAAAACGCCGTTTTCCCTAACTCTAACCTTACTTTTCCCTGTGAGGAAGAACGAGCCGTAGGAAGACCTCCAGCAAGGACACCCCACCTCACCGCCCCCACATCTGGGCGATGCACCTCCTGCAGCCGGGGCAGCCGAGGGCACATCCCCTGCTCCCCCCGCCCCGCGGCAGCCCCGGCAGAGACCCCCGCCACCGCGGGAGCGCCGAGAGAGCTTTGGGGTGAGGGGCACGCAGGAACCCCTCGCTACGTGTGCGAGGAGTGGGGGGGAACCCCGGGAGACCCCCTGAGACAGCGGCCAGCCCTCCACACGGGGCGGCTGGACCGCGATACCGAGCCCCACCGAGCCCTACCGAGCCCCGCCGAGCCCTACCGAGCCCGGCCGCCGCGTGGTCGCCAGGGGGCGAGCGGGGAGGGAGGGAGGGAGGGAGGGAGAGAGGAGAGGGAAGGGAAGGGGCGGGCGGGGCCGGGCCCATCGATGGGGGCGGCCGCTCTGTGCTCGGCTCCTCCGCCCTGCCTCTCGGCTCTGGATTAGCGAAACTGGCGACGTGGGACGGCCACCGGCCCGGCCCCCGCCGCCCCGCCTCGCCCGACGGGGTGAAGCCGGGACTCGGAGCCGGCCCGCGCCTCAGCGCAGCGGAGCCGAGACGAGCCGCGGGGAGCCCCGGCCGCCGCCACCGCCACAGCAGCAGCAGCAGCAGC